AGCAGCCCACTGAAATTTGGCCACTTAGAGGAAAATGTTCATCAAAATTGACTGCTCATATTTTCTTTACATGTCCTTTTCTTTTCTACTCCCATTCCATTGTATGAGAAAAAAAAATAACAAAGCCACCCAAATATGATGGCTGCCTAATTCATATCCCAAAAATAGAAAAAGGTGCCTAACAGAAATAGAATAAGATAAAAGGATAACTCATTTTGACCCGAAAACAACTTTACTCCAACGTTTAAAAGAAAAAAAAAAACTAAAATTTACGAATTCAAATTCTTAAAATGAAAATGGCTTCAAATATTGCGTGGAGAGTTAAATTGATATTGAGTCCATGTGACTCCACTATAAAAGAAAGAAAAAATATTATATTATTTCATCATTCAATCGCTAATGTCAAACATGACGACCACGTAGCATATTCATGTTAGTCATTGCTTACGAAGTTTTTAGATGTCTTATATTAGAAAACACAAACGCTTACACCGATATAGTAATGTGTTTGAAGTAAAACTATAAAAACGAGTTTCACATACCTGTCAATTGTTCCCTCGCTCTGATATAAGTTATTGAATCCGAGGCTAAACATAAAGTTGATGTTTTTCTTTGAATTATTCAAATTCTTGACCATAATTGTAATTTCTTTTGACAGCTTTGGTGCTCATTTATATCTTAACGATGAAGGTGAGAAGAAAATGTATTAGCACTAAAATTAAACACAAACAATGAGACATGCCCTATCAATAATGTGCCGGGAAATTGGGCAGTTAGAACAAAAACGACGATTCCATGTACATGTCCATCTCGTGAAAGGTTGGCATGATGGAATCTTAACCTTATTTCTTGTTTGAGCCAATTAAGTTAAAAAATTTCAATATTGATGACTCCTAATTGGCCCCTCTATGTTTCCCGTCGCCCGCCTGCACCAAAGCTCCCAATATATTAATAAGCTCTCCTCTCCCTCTTCTTATGGTCTCATTCGTACCACTGTCCCCTCCCCACAGAATTCTTTCTTCCCCCTCAACCTCTCTCTCCTCTCTGGTTTCATTTCAGCAGGCCATCCATGGCGGTATCCGGCTCCCTCTTCCTTCCTCAACAATCTCTTTCCCCGTTCCGAGTAAATCTCCGATCACCATGTCTGTCCTTCAGAAAACAGGTTAGTAGTTCCCTTTCTCTGTCACCAACTTTGAACTTCTTCTTCTTCTTCCCTGGGAATGAGGAGTTTTTTGTCGTGATCCTGGGAATAGAAAGCTTTCCTTTTCGGGTTTCTGCCAAGTGGGTTTCTCTCATGATCACTGGCTCCTTGGTGGGTTTCATGAAAAATTCGTTCTTCGTTTGCTGATTTTATTTTTCTGCTGCAGTTCTGTGTGAGAGCTTGTGCAGGGAAAACAGGGGAAGGAGGAGGAGGAGAAGATGAAGAAAACGCTGGGAAAATGGTGATAAGGAAAGAGAAAGACGGTTGGAAAATCGATTTCTCCGGTGAAAAACCGGCCACCCCACTCCTCGACACTGTCAATTACCCTGTTCATATGAAGAATCTCTCCACCCAGGTTGGTAAAACAGAGGATCCTCAATCATCTCAACTTTCCCATCTCGCCCTCTCTGTTTTTTGGATCACCTTCTAGACTTGGATTTGGGGGATTCTTTTTAGCCGGCGATTTGTCGTTTTCCGTGGTTGGAGGGTCATCAAATTGTCGTTTTATCCAAAGTTAGTTTGTTAATTCATTGCCGTCGTCGTCATCGTGAAAACAACAGGATCTGGAACAACTCGCGGCAGAGCTGAGAGCAGAGATCGTCTATGGCGTCGCCAAAACGGGAGGGCATCTTAGTTCGAGCTTGGGAGTGGTGGAGCTGTCAGTGGCGCTCCACCACGTTTTCAGCACCCCGGAAGACAAAATCATATGGGACGTCGGACACCAGGCGTATGCCCACAAGATCCTCACGGGAAGAAGGTCCAAAATGAACACCATTAGAAAGACCTCGGGGCTGGCCGGTTTCCCCAAAAGAGACGAGAGCGATCACGACGCTTTCGGCGCTGGTCATAGCTCCACCAGCATCTCCGCCGGCCTTGGTAAGCTCAATTTTTTCCCCCCATGTTTAGTGGCATCCGATTAAGTTTGATCCTAAAAATTCTAGTTTGCTATTAAGTGAGGTTTTACCTTATCCTTAATATCATCAACTTTTGATATTGAGGGTATAAGGATTTACATGTGGGACTTTCTCAATTAAATACGTTAATATCGGGATCATTTGATCCTAATAACTCGAACCATTGAATTAAATAGATTTCCGTATCCGAACGTTTAACCAAAAATTTCATTCTAGACACGTGAGTTCTCGATCCAAACCGAACCAGTTCATCTCAATATGTCAAATTAAGATGAACTCGTACCGGTATTAAACACTCTATTACCATCTCAGTAATCAACCAGTTCATCTCAATGAGTTGGACAATTCACTTACCTAGAGAACCCTGTACTACTGGAAATAACTGTGCAAACATGTATGAATTGAATGTAGGAATGGCGGTTGCGAGGGACATATTGGGGAATAACAACAACGTGATATCAGTGATTGGAGATGGGGCGATGACAGCAGGACAAGCTTACGAAGCCATGAACAACGCCGGGTTCCTCGATGCCAATCTAATAGTGATTCTCAACGATAACAAGCAAGTCTCTTTACCCACTGCGACGCTCGATGGTCCAGCAACTCCCGTTGGAGCACTCAGCAGTGCTCTCACAAAGCTCCAGGCCAGCACCCAATTCCGCAAGCTTCGTGAGGCTGCCAAGGTAAAACTTTTCCTCTGTGTCCTTGGGTTTCTAAGAGCTGCTGGAACGCGAGCTGAGTTTGATCGTATATGATGTGGGTGAATAGAGCATTACAAAGCAAATTGGAAGCCAAGCGCATGAAGTTGCAGCGAAGGTGGATGAGTATGCAAGAGGAATGATCAGTGCTTCAGGGTCGACCTTCTTCGAGGAGCTTGGGTTGTACTATATTGGACCCGTTGATGGTCACAATGTGGAAGATTTGGTGACTATATTCGAGAAAGTGAAGGCAATGCCTGCTCCTGGACCTGTTTTGATCCATATAGTAACAGAGAAGGGGAAAGGGTATCCTCCTGCTGAAGCTGCTGCTGATAAAATGCATGGTGAGTGAGTCTTTCTGGCATGTGTGATCCACTTTGCCTAGGGTACATTTCCAAATGTATCTATGGTGAATTTTCAAGCTATTTGCATAATGAGTGATCTCTTCTGAACTGTCTTCTTTCAGGAGTGGTGAAGTTTGATGTGAAAACGGGCAAGCAATTCAAGACGAAATCCCCTACCTTGTCATACACGCAATACTTTGCAGAATCATTAGTCAAAGAAGCTGAGGCAGACAGCAAGGTAGTTGCAATCCATGCTGCAATGGGTGGTGGGACTGGTCTCAACTTTTTCCAGAAGAAGTTCCCAGATCGATGCTTCGATGTGGGGATCGCGGAGCAACATGCTGTCACGTTTGCAGCTGGGTTAGCTGCTGAAGGTCTCAAGCCATTCTGTGCCATCTACTCATCATTCCTTCAAAGAGGATATGACCAGGTAAAAATGTACAACCACAAAATAGGATTTGGCGAACTACAGAAACACTACTCATGCTTTAACTAACTCGTCGGTTTGGAAAAATGCAGGTTGTACATGATGTGGATCTTCAGAAGCTACCTGTCCGGTTCGCAATGGACCGAGCTGGTTTGGTTGGAGCTGATGGACCGACCCACTGCGGAGCATTCGACATCGCGTACATGGCCTGCCTGCCAAACATGGTGGTGATGGCGCCATCCGATGAAGCCGAGCTGATGCACATGGTTGCAACAGCTGCAGCAATTGATGACAGGCCGAGCTGCTTCAGGTTTCCAAGGGGGAACGGGATTGGTGCAGTTCTCCCACTCAACAACAAAGGAACTCCACTCGAAGTTGGCAAAGGAAGGGTAGTGATGGAAGGAACCAGAGTTGCTATACTGGGTTATGGAGCTATAGTGCAGCAGTGTGTTGAAGCTGGTGGTATGCTAAAGAGCAGAGATATTCATGTCACGGTAGCTGACGCGAGGTTCTGTAAGCCTTTGGACACTGAGCTTATCAGGGAGCTGGCGCGAGAGCACGAGATTCTGATCACGGTGGAAGAAGGTTCGATTGGTGGGTTTGGATCTCATGTGTCTCATTTCTTGAGCTTGAGTGGGATTCTAGATGGACCCCTTAAGGTGACTAGCTAACATTTCCACTGATCCTGTTTCATTCTTTGTGCCCTTTTTCTTTTTGTTCTGGCTTCTGACTGTGGGTTTGTGTGAATACAGTTGAGAGCAATGGTGCTTCCGGATAGATACATTGACCATGGATCACCTCAAGATCAGATTCAAGAAGCAGGGCTTTCATCGAAGCAAATCACTGCAACGGTGCTGTCTCTCTTGGGAAAGCCTAAAGAAGCTCTGCATTTCAAGTGAAGTGACAGAATGGAATGATGGAATCAATGGGGGCTAGTGACCTTTACTCTTTAGCGTTGTAGTCAGAATTAGAGCCGGTTTCAGGAGTGCCATGGTATCAAGAAGATGCCCGAAATCCATGATTTGGGAAGCGCCACCCAACTATCAGGGGATCCAAAAATCGCTCAAGAAAATGCATGGATTTTGATATACATCTCTGTAAATTAACCTCGAATCAATCATGATCATTTACAACATAGACTTCTGCCACAGAAATGAAGAAGCTAAGAAATTATCGTTGAGGATTCCGTTGCGTTACTATTTAAACTTACTGATTTATACATTGGAGGATTAATTGACGAGGCTGGATAAAGAATTTGATTCAAACAAGAAGAATGGTTTATCTGCAACGACAGCTATCTGAAGCTCAACGCTTTTGGTGTCCGGAAAACTGCACATACCTTAACAGAAAACGATGGAAATACGAGCAACTCAAGATGACAAGAATTCATATCTGAGAACAAGAAAGCAGTAACAAATCATTTCCTCGGATTGAATCAAGCCCGCTAAGGGCAAAAATATCAGCCGGTGAAGTTAATCATGTACACTCAACTCTTCCACTGGCAAAATGAATGATACCGTTACTGTACTGTGTATATACAGTTATACACTCCCCCTCTCTCTCAGCTAAGAATCCTTGATGCTTTGAGAATGGCTGCATCAACTCTCCATTCATGGTGTTCCGAAAATTCAGCTGACAGGAGTCAAAAAAGTGGCAGCTGAAGCGGGTGATTAGTAGACAAGAAGGAACAGACATGATGTCATTGAGCAAGTAGGATGTTGGCTTGAACTAAGCTGTGAGCCACCTTAACTTCAACGTGTGTTCCAGATATCACAATCGTCATACTTTTCCCAGGATAATAATCAAGTACTCCAACTTTAGCACCTGAAATCTGATTGCCCCAAAATCCCATACATGTTGACGTTAACATCTGACAGAAACAGAGACGGCACTCGAAAAGAAACTCAGTCCAACACAAGTAGATAGGCAGTTCGTTAATCAATTGTTACCAAAATAGTTAGTCATGAAGTGTAAATCGCTTCTGGCATTTGTGGCCAGTCACTAGCTCTCACCTTTCTTATGTGATCCAGATTGCTTCCATCCTTGCCGTAGACAGCATTGATAGCTGCTGCAGATATTCTAACCTCTATAGTTTCACTCGCTACTAAAGCCATATTCTTTCTGCAATTAAATGAAGTTGTAAACTTAAGTTAATGAATGATATCAGAAATATCCTACCTTGCATTATGATATAAAGTACTAACACTTTACCAACCCCATAGAGTATCAACAAAAAAAAAAAAAAACGTTGTAGTTTGATGAAATGTATAATCAACACTAACAGAATCCAAATCCCTCTTGTGATCTTGTGTCAGTTTTCATACACTTTGTAAATGAACGCTTTACCCACATCATATGAGCGACATATTAGAATAGGGAAAGAAAACAAACAAACAAACGAGAGAATTTGACAAGTGAATTTGCAGATTTTGTCATCCCCTCTCTGCATTACTGACCTCTCATGCTCCGTAGGTGTCGGTGTAGTAGAGTGGTCTTCACTATCTGTAATTGTGACTGTATTTCCTCGAGCAGACTGCAATGAACACTATCATTTTAATATACACACTTTTTCTAGCAGGTGAAGGGAGCTATGGATATAAAGACAGATCACCTGAAATCCTGATAAAGAAGTGCTTCTGGAGTCAGAGAATCCGAGTTGAATGTCCCCTTGTGTTACGAAAGTTTTATTGGAAGTGTTAGCAGCATTGCGAGCTTCAGGATGAGACTGAAGAGGCTTGTTCTCATTTGATCCTCCACCAGGAACCTCTCTTTCTACCTCTTTCAGCACTCCCCTCGGCAAAAGAAAGCGCATGCACCTTTCGAGTTCTGATACCTTACTGGGAGATGCCAAGCTAGCAGGATCATTAGTAGTTTTGATGGCAGTAGTACTTCCTCCTCTGGAGAGATTCTCTTGAATGTCACCGGATTGTTCACCTTGACCGGGTTTCAGAAATGTAGAAGTAACATCGCTCACTCCTACCTTCGAGCTTCTAGCTGTTGCCACCTCAATCATATCTCGTGGAAATACACTGTCCCTCAGTTTGCCAATAATCCGAGAAAGACTATTTCGAACATTTTTATATTCTCCTCTAATCTGCGAAAGATAACAGGTTTCAGTCCATTTCCAAGGCCAGAAAATCAGGATTCCAGCATGAATTGAAACAAAAAGTATGCTGTCTGGTTCAAAGTGAGGAAGACACAACCAATCCAGAAAACAATTGAGAGCAAACCATACTTTCTGCTGCTTTGAAAATTGAAATTATATACCAGAAGCTGAATCCACAAAAGTTGCAGGAGATGGAGCACACAGATTATCCGAATCCATCCATTAAACGGTATAGGTTTAAGAGGAGGGAACCTATCCTGACTATAATTGTCATTTCCACAATGAACGAAATAGATAATGAGCTGCTTGAAGGTTATTGAATTGAAGATGTGCATTAAGCTAGAAAGCTTCACTAAAATGCCAATTCAGTTTTAAACGTCAAAGATGTAAGCAAAGTGCAAAATTTATAAAAATGAGAACTTAGGAGGGAATATAATTAGGCCATTGGAAACGCACCTCTAGAATAAAATCAGTAGTCGAATCCTCCAATGCCTGTAATCCAATAGTAGCACCTTTGGAAGCTTCTGCATCAATCATCTCATTGCAACCACCAAGGAAATACACATGATCCATATCCAGTATGAGCCTCGCTTTGACATGAGTGCCATCAGTTAAGGCCGATGATAAATGCATCTTTTCAAACTCACTCTCAATAGATCTAGCAAACACCAGATCTGTAGCAGTCTGTGCAGGGGAAGACCTACATTCCAGAGTCTATAAAGAGAGACCCCATATACAAATGTCAACATGACACATGAAGTGAGCATATCATCCCCCAGCGTGTATAGTCTGCCAAATTGTGGTGTGTGAAAAAATTGAAATTAACATGTAACTAAGACTGCAGTAATAAGTATAGCATAAACTGACCTCCAATGCTGAAACAGTGACCACCCTCTCCCCACCCCAGGTCTTTAGAGCTGCGAATCTGATACAAGCACCAGTTTGATTCTGCAGAGACTTAACTATGGACCCTCCTGTGCCAATAATGCCTCCCACGGCATTATTGGAGACAAGGAGTCTGAATGAAACTTCCCGCCTCCCACCATCACCATTTGTCGAGTAATTAGTATCGGCGGAATTCAAAGGTGGCAAATTTGAGCCAAGATGTGGAAAGAACTCCAAATGTTGGTCAAAAGATGTTTTAGAGGAAGATCTCTCTATAGGTCTCACTGGAATAGGGGATGGGTCCCTTTCAGTTGGAGAGCAAGCTTGAAGACAAGCAGTGACTACAACAATTGCTCTCTTCACAGCCAAAACCGAACCAGTAATCTGCAAATGCATAATAATCCCAGCAACTATGAACATAGTTTCTAAAACAGACATAATGCAGCTTAGTTTAACATAATTCAGAACTCAGAACCCTATAAGCAATAGTTTCCCCAAGTTAATGGGGGTTCAGATGTCTATTATCTATAATCCCAACCACATGCAAAACTTTAGCTAATCAGAGTGAGGAAACAAAGACAAGAGGTATCGGAAGAGATCGTTTATGGACCTGAATCAATTGCTCGTCCGGCAAAGCACAGGGCGGAGCCGGCAAAATATTGATATGGGCCCCACTGATTGACTTCATCCTGGTTATCGTCCTCCCACCTTTACCCACAACGATACCAACCTGCTGCCGGTCGACTAACAGCCCACAAAACCCTTCATTACTTCCGCCGCCGCCGCCGCCCACCGCCTTCCCTCGCCATTTAAGGCGGCAGACTTCCCACATCCTCTCCACGACCCTCAGAACCGCCTCCTGCGCGTCCGAAACGAGCTCCTCGCCGGACCCTTGTTCGTCCTCCGCCGCTCTCAACAGAAGCCGCCGCTCCGGGGTGGCCGAGCCGACCACGACGAAGACGCGGTGCTCCGCCCCCTCGGCCAGCTCCTCGCAGCTGACAATGCAGGAGGTTTCCCGGCGAATCTGGGAAACAACGGAGCCGGAGGCGCCGATCACGCCGCTGACCGCGGAAGCGTGGCAGACGATCTTGAAAGCAGCCTGACCAGGGCCGAGGTAAGCCAACGCCGGCCGGTGCGTTTTAGCTCCGTGGCGGCCACGGCGGTGGCGGGGGTCTTGCATTGACGGTTAAAGAAAAATGGGTACCGGTTGTCTTTGATTCTTTTTGTCTATTTGGTTCTCTTTTTCGGCGGCGATTCTTGGAGACTGAGAGGGCAAATGTCCACCTTCCGATCCGAGACGGAGAGAAGGGTTTTCTGGTCAAAAGAAAAGAGTATTGTTTTTGCTTTGCGCGGTCGTCTCGGCCTCGGGTCAAGGGTCTGACCGTCGGAGTCCGTACTGAGTAACTGTATAATCTTATTTAGTTATTTTATTTCACATATTGTGGATGTTGCGTTGAGAAGAAATAGAGAATCATTTCATTTCAAAGTTGTGAAATCCAAATCATTTTGTGGGTTCGTTTTGCGTTTTCAAAATTTATATTTCTCGTTGTCCAATATTGCTGCAATAATGAAAATGAATAATTTATAATTACATATGTCTATTTTGCGTTGGAAAAAAAATAAAACCACCAAAGATAAGATAGGCTGACGGTAAATCTATCGTAACAGTGAAAGTTTGGGAGTTGTAGATCTCGAGTTCGATCCAAGTGAGGATCATCGGTGCTCCCGGAGGTATGAGGCTGCTGGGGGCGAAACTTCATTGGCGTCGAAGTGATTGCAGGTGACCCCAAAATTTAGTAGGCCCGTTGTCACAAAGTGGCACGTGGGGCTGAGGTTTTTGGGAAAAAAAGAAAGAAATAAAGACGATGGTGGGAAGTTAAAAATAAGTATAAATTAGGTTTGTTATATCCTGCAATTTTTCATTTTCAATGTTGTCAAAACCGAATATTTTTCCCTTCGTTTTATCATAAAAAAATAAAAAGTATATTTTGTGTGTATTTTTTTAAATAATATGTAAAAATGGGTCGACCCGCCCCAAGCCGTAGTAGCATAGAGTGGGGCATGGGTATTGACTATTGAGGTACCCATCCCGTCTCGCCCTGCCCCATTGCCATCACTAACTCTAAATATTGATTATGATACTCCTACCAAATTATAATATAACTATGTACGGCAAGTTCAAATCTATTAGGTTATGAAAATCGTAAATTATTCAATGATAATATAAGTGAATATTGAGAAATGGAAACTATTTAATGACAGAAATTAAAACTACGGAGATTTTAATTTAATATCTATTAATAACATGTGAATTACATTTTGTAGCATCAAAATAGATATAGCAAAGGTGGAGAGTGAATGAACCTCTAAACTAGAGGATGTGGGTTTGAGAGGATCTTGAAGATGTCCTCTGGCAGGAGGAAATCCTTTGGCTCCAAAAATCAAGAGCCAACTGGACAATCCACGGAGACCAGAATTCCAGATTCTTTCATAGCAGCACGCTGAGCAGAAGAAAACGAAATAAGATCATTAGCCTGAGAAATGAAGCAGGAGAATGGATCACTGACCCGGATTTGCTCCAAGACATGGCAAGAGAACACTATGTGAAGCTTTTCACCAAGTGCAACAGAAGTGTCCATCATTCCATCCCTGCTACTTTTCCACCTATTACAAGCTCTAGGTGGGAGCAGATGGAAAGACCTCCGACCTTTGAGGAAATCCATGGCATCATCAAAGAGATGAACGGTCTAAAGGCACCTGGCAAGGATGGTTTCCATGCACTCTTTTTTCAAAGATGCTGGAAACTTGTTGGCCAGGACTTCTTCAAGTCCATCCAGGAATGCTTTAGGAATCCTGAGAGCATCAGGACTCACAATGAGACCCTTTTGGCTCTGATCCCAAAAGTGGACTCCCCCAGTTCCATGAGCCATTTTAGACCCATTAGCCTTTGCAATGTGGGGTACAAAGTGGTGGCAAAATGCATTGCAAACAAGCTGAAATGTCTTATGCCCCATTTGGTCAAACCTAATCAATCTAGTTTTGTTCCAAATCGACATATCACTGACAACATTCTTATTCTGCAGGAGACAGTGCATTCGATGGCTAGGAAAAAAGGCAAAAAGGGAATGATGCTTCTTAAACTGGACTTGGCCAAAGCATACGATCGCCTGGACTGGGATTTTTTGGAAGAAACCATTACCTTGGCAGGGCTTCCTCAAAGTATCATTCGTGTTATCATGAAATGTGTCACCACTGTGGAAATGCAGGTTCTGTGGGAAGGAGGGGAAACTCAAAGCTTCAAGCCAAGCAGAGGCCTTAGACAGGGATGTCCCATTTCTCCTTACCTTTTCACTCTTTGTGTTGAGAGATTAGGTCATTGCATTTCCGAGGAAGTTAGTTTGAATAGGTGGAATCCTGTTAAGCTCTCAGCTGGAGGACCCCCCTTATCCCACTTGTTCTTTGCAGATGACTTGGTGTTGTTTGCTGAAGCCTCTATGAAGCAAGCAGAAATTATAAACCTTTGTGTTGATAGATTCTGTGATGCTTCAGGAGAGCTTGTTAGTAAAGAAAAGTCCAGAGCTCTGTTCTCTAAAAATACTAGGGATAGTGACAGAAGACTTATTTGTGACAAACTTGGGATTCAATCAACTTTGGACTTAGGTAGATATCTTGGTGTGCCTGTCATTCATGGTAGGATCACTAGAAATACCTATAGGTACATCATTGATAAGATTGACCAGAAATTGACTTCATGGAAGGCTAGAACTCTCTCTCTTGCTGGAAGAGTTACTCTTGCTTTATCAGTCCTCAATGCTATTCCCACTTATGCTATGCAGACATCCATCCTTCCTGCCTCTGTTTGTGACCTTATTGATAAGAAAATCAGGTGGTTTGTGTGGGGATCCAATGAGGAAAAAAAGAAAGTACACTTGATTTCTTGGGAAAATGTTTGTAAACCTAAGAACCAAGGGGGGTTGGGGCTTAGAACTGCTAGAAGCCTTAACATGGCTTTCATGATTAAGTTGGCATGGCAGGTTCTTAACAACAGCTCAGATTTGTGGGTGCAGATCATGCAAGGCAAGTATTTCAAGCACAAAGATGGGCAAATTGTGGCAATGAAGAGGAGCAACCATTCAAGTCTTTGGAAAGCAATCCTTAAGGCAATTCCCCTCATGAAGAGTGCTGCAGTCTGGAGCATCAGGAATGGAAAGACAACAAGCTTTTGGCACCATCCATGGCTTGAACATGACCTTCTCCTCAAGGACAACACACTGCAAGATGACCCTACTACCCTGGATGAATCAGCAGTGGCGGACTGGGTTGATGATAATGGAGAATGGGACTGGATTAAGCTCCAAGACATTTTCCCTCCCAACATCCTGGCCTTGATTGCTGGAATGGAACCTCCCAAAGATGATCTGGGTGAGGATAAGTGTATTTGGGGGCTGGAAAGGGATGGCAGATTTCGCCTGAAATCTGCATATAAGCTGGCTGCGGATCAATTGGATTCTACAGGAGAGGCATTCTGGAAGGAACTCTGGAAATGGAAAGGACCTAACCGCACCAAGCACTTTCTTTGGCTTGTCATGCATGATCGTCTGCTCACAAACAAAGAACGAGTCAAAAGGAAGTTGGCCACGGATGGAAACTGTAATTTTTGCAAAGACACAGAAGAAACCACTGAACATATCCTCAGGAACTGCAGGAAGACAAAGGGTATCTGGGAGAAATTCAACGCCAAAGTCACCTGCAAGGACACCAGTTTGCCTTTCAAGACTTGGATGCTACGCAACTTGAAAGATGAGGATCATGGAGTGGATTTTGGTCTGGTTGTGTGGCACCTCTGGAAACAGAGGAATGAAGAATGCTTGGATGGTAAAAATTTTGTGGAAAAGTCTCTCCTCTGCAGAATTGAGGCTTGGTTTAATATTTTTAAGATGGCATTGAAGAATGTGGAAAGGAGCTTTGCGCCACCAACAGTGAGAAGAGAGGAGCTGATTGGATGGAAGCCACCACCTGAGGGATGGGTACAGATCCAGTCTGATGGCTCTGTCCTCTCTCCCTCAGGCAGCGCTGCTGCTGGAGGCCTCATCCGTGACTGCTTGGGAAGGTGCTCTGTGGCCTATGCCTGCAACCTTGGAGCATGTTCTATCACTGCTGCTGAGCTCAAAGGAGCAGCTGTGGGACTTCAAATTGCTTGGGATCGAGGCCATCGAAGGGTGCACCTCAACCTGGATTCGTCCACTGCAGTTGCTATCATTAAGAACTGCTCTGACGATGATCACAGACATGGCCTACTGGCTACTCATGTCTATAATCTTTTGAATCGTGATTGGGACGTTGTTGTCTCACACGTGTATAGGGAAGGGAATTGTACGGCTGACTACCTTGCTGGGTTTGGTCATAGCCTACTTTTTGGCACACATCATGTTGATGTGTGTAATCCTGATCTGTGTAGATGGTTAGAGTATGATGTTCTGGGAATTTCCCAACCTCGTTCTATTAATATATGATCCTAGACGCCTTTGAGCGTCTGTCTTCCTACCAAAAAAAAAAGAGGATGTGGGTTTAAACCCATGACCATTTCAGTTTTCAAATGAGCTACTTTTCACTTATCAGCTCCGAACTGAATGTCTGGTTCGTCTAATTCGAGTGATTACGGACCACCATCCGAAAGGGCGATTCTCAATAGGAGGAAAAAACACTTGTTCGGACTAAGCTAGCAACCAGGTGTCTATTAAACAGATTGAACCAACTCGGATGGTTCGACTTTAACAACACTAAAAAAGTTCAGCTCCTGAGTTTTTAGTCTATTTAATCCACAAAGTCAAATGAGTAGCGCATAGGCTCCCGAAATTTGCTTCCAAGCACAGGTTACCATAAAAAAAAATTTGCTTCCACGTGGTGAAAAACATTGACAATAATGGACAATATTATAGGATATCTGAAATGTGGACAAGCAAAGAAGAGCTTCTCTAAGGCTACACATGACGGGTTTGATAGACGACCTTTATCAAGGACACTCAATCTAAACAAATGATAAACATAAGGTCATGATCCTTAGCAAACTTCAGGGTTACAGACAGAGCTTTTGTTTCCTCTTTGATTGTAGTGGAATAAGTTAAAAGGGTCACTCTATCATCACAAACTTATCAAGAGATGTCAAGAATAACAACACCATAGGGCGCCACATGAGAATCATGTAAAAATCAATCTCTAGAGAGGGACTAGGTGGATGATGACTCGTAAGAGTATCTATTCTAGACTCGCATATTGGGACCTATAGTGCATACATTTTCCATAATTATTATCACAAGTGTGTTCTAGCAACCATAAGATTGCTTTTATAGGGCGGATACGCTTTTGGTAGCGTATTGAGCATTTTGAAATCTAAGTAGGCTAGTGGACCACTTGTTAGCCAAAGGGGATAACCATGAGATGAAAGAGGATGATAATTCAAGCATCCAGGATCAAACAAAGCCTAATTTGGAGTTCATACCAGGGAGAAAAGACTCAGACAAGTTAGCAGTCTGAAGTAGACAAGGCCCAAAATCAACGGAACGGAATGGAAAGTTGTCCAGATGCGTCCTGGCGTGGTGGCTACGTCAAGTAAGCTTCGTGAGAAATCAGAAAACGCTTTAAATGCCAATTTTTCCTCCTAGAAAACCTGACCCAAAGTCATGGGGTTTAGAACTCGGTAGCTAGTGATAGGAGGCATAAGTGGGTTGTTACTCTGTCGACAGAGTGACTCACCCGATTGAGGAAAAACCGGTGGCAAAGTTGGCAGCCCAAACCCCAATTTCTCTACTGTGGCCTCCGATTTTAGAGGTTCTCTGGAGACGTCATTTCGATGATCGCTCAGGAACCCATCCTCATGTCCGGCTAGTTCCTTTAGTTGCATAGGTATGTGAACCCTAGAGGTTCTTTGACTTAGTAACTCTTTGATTTTCACATATATATTATATGATTTCTATATCTTCAGCTTTGTTCTTTCATTTGGTTTATCATTGATGCGATTGTATGCTTAACACAAGGACTAACTTCAAAGTCTATATCCTTGTTTGGTTTTCGTTTGGAGAAATCCCTACGTAACTCAAGCAATTTTAAATGATCAACCTCAAGTGAAGTCCTAAACTCATAATTCAAGCTCCTAAACTCATCTATAAATCATGGGTAATTACTTGGATTGATGAGAAGTGCAGAAAAATAGAAGAGAAAGATGCGGCGGTGGCGCGGCTGGTCTAGCCGGATGAGCTTCTCTGGTGAGTTTTTGGGGGTATTGTTTGTTAGGTGTTTATTTGTTTGGTGATGGATAGGTTGTATCTCAAATTTGAAGATAAATTTTGATTTTTGGAGGTGGATTTGGTGATTGAAAGTTGAAGAATTTGAGAGAAAATTTGAAACCTAAGAAAAGGGAGAGGATTTTTGGCTAAGAGAGGAATTAAATTGAATATGAGGGGTTGTGAGGTGATGGTGGCCAAAATGAGAGTTTTTATAGGTCTAATGGCAGCATTGGGGGTACGGGGGGTCAAACCGTCGCTGCTTCCCTTTGCATTCTGCACCGGTTTCCAGCATTGTTTTCGTCAGAACACTTACCTCGGTAAAAACAAAAGTTGATTTTGTACTATTTTTCGTTAGAACACTTACCTCGGAAGACCAAGAGATCACACATCCCTGTACATCTGTAATGGTCACAATAGTATTTTTGAAACTTGCTTGAATATGAATAACCCCTTTTGGTACTTTACGCGCATTCTTACATGAGTCAAATCCTTCTTTCTCGTCATATGTTCAAAATTTTGCTCCGAATGTAACACATATCCAGATATACATTAATTTCCTCCAATGAGTAACTCAAAATTTCAAGCCAAACCCAAATTTTGAAATTTAAAATTAATCTAGGAAAGAGGAATACAGGTTGTCTCCTCGGTAGCACTTTTGTTTATCGTCATTAGTGATAGCAATTTGAACCTGCCCCGCGGGTCTTACCCGACCTGACCTGTGATGGGGCATGTATTACCCGACTCGCAGTAGCGTGGGGCGGGGCATGGGTATCTACTTCCGACCCGCCCTAACCACCCCACCCTGTTCTTGGCCTATTTTACCTCAAATACTTACCATATCTATTCATATTTCTCATATTTTAACTTTTCTTCAACTAGTTAGACTCGACCTTTCAACTAGTTAGGCTTAATTACCCATTATATTATCACTTTTTTCATACACAAAGTATTTCCCCCTTCGTTTATCGTAAAAATGAAATTTTGCCCGTATGTTTTCATATAACATGTAAGAGTGGGTCGACCCGCCCCGCCTAGTACCCGGCAGGTATTACCCGCCCCGCCTCATTGCCATCACTAATCATCATTAAGTTGACGTCAAATATGGGTTGTCTCCCATGGAGTGCTCACTCTGTTATGCTTTTGAGCTAGCCTCAGCGAGGCTCCCTTTTAGTTGATTTCACGATCAAGCTCCACGTCATCTTCATCTTCCCATCTCGTTGCAAGGATTGGTTCGTTGTTGATGTCGATAGGTTGATGACGATTGATGAACTCTTAATACTCTTATGATGCCCCATACTCCAGCTCCTCGATCCTTTCTAGCATAAGTTTTTGCCTTGTACTGGATATCCTAAGTGCCATTTGAGCTAGGTTCATATCAAGAATTGGTAGAACCTCCTTCAACTCGCCTCCATACTTTGGGTCTTGATCATGGTGATGAAATATTATGTTTGCCAAATCCTTTAATAGAGAATCAAATCAAAATTTGATCTCATTTTCTAGATCCTCCTCTGCATACTCCTCGAGTTTATCACTTCTTTTGATTGGCTTCTCCACTTTGTACAGTAGCTTTCTCACATGTAAAGTTACTTCTCCGTTCAATTCTTATTCCAGCAGTGGCAAGGAATGGCCTTCCAAAGAGGATTGAATACTCTTAGCTTATCTCTATGTCAATCATGAAGTAGTCAGGGTGGAAAATGAGCGCGCCAACTTGGGTGCTTAAGCCTTTAGCAACTCCAAGAACTCTACAAGGGGTGTTGTTGGCTAGTGTGATCTCTAAATTGACTGATTGACATACTCCATGTTAGATAGTCTCATCTCTTCATATAGATGTAGTGGTAGTATGTTGACGCTTGAGCCAAGGTCACTGTTTGAGCCTAGAATGTACTAGGCGGTTATGGGGCTCCGATCTGGACTCCCTCGTCCGATCTCCTCGGGAGTGGAAGAACCTGTGAGGCGGGGGGCGGCCCCCGGGATCTACGCTCCGACGCCCAAGTTAGTACGATATAAGATGAGGTTTATGGTATGTAGAGAGAGAGTTTAGAGAGAGACCTTAGGGTAGAAGAGAAGAGGGGAAAAGAGAGGATCCTTGACTTGGAGGCTTTGGCCTCCTTATATAGGGCTTGAGACTCCATAGGTGGGCCTGGGCCTGTGACTCCTTGCGTTGGGCTTGGACCCGTTTATAGTCTTGTAGGCATATTAATTCATATCCCAACAATTGCCCCTTTACTTCTTGTATTCTGTAAGAATGGAAGGAGTAATATAATGCGTTAATCGTGTATTAATTTGCCTTACTTGCGAATCCGGATGATGCGGTTTGCCCCTTGTGTGAGTTGCGTGATTATTTCTTCTGCCCCTTGCTTATCTTTCGATGTCTTGAACTAAAGCTCTCAAGTCGTTAAGAGTTCCTTCGCTAGTCCATTGTTGTTAGCGCTAGTAGACCATAATTGCGACCTAGGTAGGGTGGCCCCCACGGCTTGAGAGTTTTAACTCAAGACGCTCTTGTTAGTGTTTCCTCTGCTGACTGGGGTGTGCTTCTGCTTTGCTTCTTAGGCTTCCTGGGAAGCGCATTGCCCCTCCGCTTCCTGAGAAGTGCATCGCTCCTCGGCTTCCTGGGAAGCGCATCGCTCCTTCGCTTCCTGGGAAGCGCATTGCTCCCTCCGCTTCTTGAGAAGCGCATCGCTCCTCGGCTTCCTGGAAGCGCGTTGCTCCTTCGCTTCTTGCGAGGCGCATTTCTCCCTTCGCTTCCTAAGAAGCGCATTGCTCCTCGGCTTCCTGGGAAGCGCATTGCTCCTCGGCTTCCTGAGAAGGAAGCGCATTGCTCCTTCGCTTCCTGGGAAGCGCATTGCGTCCTTCACTTCCTAGGAAGCGCATTGCTCCCTCCGCTTCCTGAGAAACGCATTGCTCCTTCGCTTCTTGCGAAGCGCATTGCTCCTCGGCTTCCTGAGAAGGAAGCGCATTGCTCCTTCGCTTCCTGAAAAGCGCGTCACTCCTCGGCTTCCTGAGAAGCGGATCGCTCCTCAGCTTCCTGGGGAGCGCGTCACT